TGAGACTCAGCCAGGACCCGCTCTGCAAGCCCAGAGTGTTCGATTCCTTGCACTCACCAAACTTGAAGGACGGCCTATGGAGCTGCCAGTGGATCGCTAAAGGTAACTTTGGATGACAGATGACACGTACTCTCTGGCAAGTAACTCCAAAGAAGCCCAGAGGACCCTGAGAGGCTGCACAGAAGTCCTTCCAGTGCCAGCTGCTGTAAGTTCTCTCAGTGCCTGAAAGTCTAAGTTATAAAGACCAGGTCCAAGTTGGTACTCAGCCTTAACTCACTCTTGGGATAACTGATACTCGTCCACATGGGAAGGGGAGGGGCAGTTTCATCCAGCCATTAGAGATGATTTTCCATTAGATTTAAAGCTGACAGGTGTCCTCAGTGCTGGGCTGAGGCCTAAGCATCTCACACACACCAGCCCTGACCATCATGGCCGCCCAGGGCAGGGACAACTATTCCACTTGAGAGGCAGGGAAACGGAGGCACGGAGCGCTTATACACACTTTGTAGTAAAACTACATGGCAAAAGCAGGAAGGAAATGCCATTCAGGGTGAACACAGAGCAACTTCTGAATTTCTATAGTACTTATGTTTGATCAGGCATGTTTAATAATTTTATTTAAACTGTCAATGCTTGCAATGACAAAAATTGTGTCCTTGCAGTGGATTTAGTGCCACACTTGCACATAAGGCTCCCAAGTTTTGTTTTGCTTTTTTGAGATGTTTTTGCTATAGGGCACGTGTGCGCCCCAGAAAGACAGAGCGAGACAGAGACAGAAAGTGAGAAATCATCCCCCGGGGGATGGCCACGCTGCAATCCCTTCTCCTCCATTCTCCTCTTCAGATTTTGGGCACGCACGCACACGTGCCCGGTGAGTTTATGCCACCAGGTTCAGGACTCGAACCGAGGTTGATGATATGGGAGAGTCCAGTGACATAGCCATTATGCTAACTGCTGGTCCCTTTTTTGGGGTGTCGGGTGGCTCCTGAGTTTGACCAGGGCACAATGCAGAAGGGCAATGTGAAGACAGCTCCCAACATTCACTGGGAACACAATTACAAAAAAGGGCAGGCTCGATGTACAGTATTCTGTGCCTTAAACATCCATGTTATCTTTCTTTTTAGTTATTTTAATTATTATTATTATTATTATTATTATTGTTTTTAGATTTTTGCCATTAGGCACATGTGCTTGCTAGAGAGAGAGACAGAGGGAAAGTGATAAATCACTCCCAGGGGGATGGCCATGGCCTTCTCCTCTTGGGACTCTGGGCCCGCAGTCACACAAGCCTGGCATGATTTTTTTTTTTTTGAGAGGTTTTCGCTATAGGGCATGTGCGCTCGCCAGACAGACAGAGAGAGACAGAGAGACAGAAAGCAAGAAATCACCCCCCAGGGTGGATGGCCATGCGGCAATCCCTTCTCCTCCATTCTCCTCTCAGGATCTTGGGCACGCACGCGCACGCACCTGGCGTGAGTTTTAAGCCACCGGGTCCGGAATGCGAACCGCAGTCGACTACGTGGGAGTCCAGCAACATAGCCATTACGCTAACTGCTGGTCCCAAGCCTGGCATGATTTTCAAGCCATTGGATCTGGGACTCAAGCTGTAGAGTCGATCGTGTGCTGCCTGTTGGTCCTCACCCACTGTTTTTTACTGCAGCAAACACACCTAACATACGATTTACCATCCTGACCTGTCGGTGTCCAGGCCAGTGTCGTTAAGGGCGCTGCCCACGCCCAGAACGCCTTTGCTCTCCCAGACCACACTCTCACCGTGCAACAGGAGCTCCCCAGGCCCCGACCTCCACCTGGGCCTAGGTTCCTTTTGAAACTGGAATCAGAAAAAGACTGTCAGGCTGGCTTTCGAGACTTTTCTGGCAGCCAAAACTCAGAAGTCAACTTAGTGCAAACAAAACGTTACTACAGCAGCCATGCCCATTCCTGCACATCTTTGTCCATGGCCACCTAAACAATGCTAAAGAGACAGCGGGGCTGTCATTCTGTGGAAGGGCTCATGGGGCCTTCTCCTATTTGCAGATGGCATGATCTGACATATACAAAAGCCTAAAAATTCTAGCAAAAAGCTGTAAAAAACAATAAATAAATCTAGCAAAGTTACAGGATACAAAATCAACATAAAGAAATTGATAGCACTATTATACACTATAATAAACTACATGAAATCAAGAAAGCAATCCCATTTACTTCAGTTACCAAAAAGTAACACACGTAGGAATAAATTTAGCTAAGGAGGTAAAAGATCTTTACAACGAAAAATATTGCTGAAAGGAACTAAAGAAGACATTAAAAAGAGAGGGAGGCAGCATTATGGCATGGAGGTTAAGGGAGCCAGGTCCCACATGGCCAAACCACAAGTCAAATCCTGGCCTCAGTGGCTTGAAAAACACTTAAGGCTTGTGTGCCCAAAATCCCAATAGAAAGAAGAAACAGAGAAGGGACTGCAGTGTGACCATGCCCCAATGGGGGCTGCTTTCCCCTTCTGCCTCTCTGTCTCTCTGCCTATCTCTGGCAAGTGCATGTGCCCTCTGGCAATTAAAAAATAAAAAGAAGAAGCAGCTATCCCATGTTCATGGATTGAAAGAATCAATATTGTTAAAATTTCCATTCGACTGAAAGCAAGTTACAAATTAAATGCAATACCTTTCCAAATACCAATAGCATTCTTCACAGAATTTTTTTAAATAACAAAGTCTGAATTGAGGGGCAGGCAGGTGCATGGTGGTTAAGGCAATGGACCCTCACGTGGTCAAACCCAGTTCAATTCCCAGACCTGCTTGCTAGCTAGCTTTCTCTCTCTCTCTCTCTCTCTCATGAATGTATGTGCTCTATAGCAAATTAAAATAATAACAACAATAATAAAATAAATAATTATAATAAATAAATTAATTAAATAAAAAAAAGATAGGGGGCCCGCAGGTGGTATGGTGGTTAAGGGCACTGGACTCCTACATGGCAGTCACGATTCGAGTCCCAGATCTGGCAGCTTGCTTGCTTTTTCTGTCTCTGTCTGTCTGTCTGTCTCTCTCTCTCTCTGTCCCTCTCTAGTCAAACTGAAATAAATAAAGATTACAAAAAAAAAGATAGCCCATGTTCATGGACTGGGAAAATTAATATTGTTAAAATATTCATCTTACTGAATTTAACTACAGATTCAACACAATACCTTTCCAAATACCAGTTCACAGACTTTTTTTTTTTTTTTTTAATCACACAATGTGTACTGAAGGACCTTCAGGCAGCTTGGTGGTTAAGGCAGTTGGTTCCCATATGGCCAACTACATGGTTTGAGACCCTAACCCAGCAGCTTAAAAAATACACCAGGTGCATCTGTGTGTATGCCCAAAATCCCATAAGGAGAATGGAAGAGATGGGGCTGTGGCATGGCCAACCCCCTGGGGGGGTATTTCTCACTCTCTCTGTCTGTCTCTGTCTTGTCTCTCTCTGGTGAGTGCATGTGTCTCATACCCAAAAACTAAATTGAGGGCCAGCAGGGGGCATGCCTATTAAAGGACTGAACTCCCTCATGGCTGATGACGGTTTGGGTCCTGAACCTGGCAGTCTTCTTTTTCCTCTTTTCTTTTTTTGGAGAAGTTTATGTATAGGACGCATGTGCTCACCAGAAAGACAGAGAGAGAAAGAGAGACAGAAAGCGAGAAATCACCCTCCCCCCCAGGGGGATGGCCACACTGCAATCCCTTCTCCTCCATTCTCCTCTCAGGATCTTGGGCATGCACGCACATGCGCCTAGCATGAGTTTAAGCCACCGGATCTGGGACTCGAACCACGGTCGACTACATGGGAGTCTAGCAACATAGCCATTACGCTAATTGCTGGTCCCAACTGGCAGTTTTCTATCTCTCATCTCTCTGGTGAGCACACATGTGCTGTAGCGAATTAAAAAATGAGTTGTTTTTGTTTTTTTTGTTTTTTAATATAGGGCATGTGCACTCACTGGAGAGACAGAGAGATACACAGACATAGAAAGCAAGAAATCACCTCGGGGGGGGGGGGGGCGGGGGGGGGGG